CATTAGCATAAAATGAATTAAATAACAGTAATTTACACTTTATTCAATCCTATATATGATATAAAATGGCAAGAGAAATGTACATTTTCTAGAAATCATAATGCAAATTAGTGATTCAGTGAAAAAACTGTTCAACTCTTGAGTGTTTTTGGTAGTGTGGGTGCTTATTCACACGTTGTGTAAAACAAATGTTCTTAGTTTACTTCGCTGTCGACCAAAGCTTATCATAGTAGCAATTTTCTGTCATCAGCCATAGCCATCCACATCAACTTTTTACTTTTTCGACTTCTTGAAAACTACAAGCCCGATTGCTTATAAATCTTTGATAGAATAAAACGGTCGAGGAAAGATTATGAGATTCCATGAGGTATGTGAACTGGAACATACTTGTATAGTACATTAATTCTATAATTATGTATTTAAAAAGTAAAAAAAAATATTAACAGCTCACCTTATTTTGAGATCACAGTTGAAATCAACAATTGTATTGAATGAATACTATATATGACTACAACAAAATCTACACTTTGTTGGACATTTTTAGCAATATTAAACAAAATATAACATTTTTGAAAAATAACTTCTATACTTTTTCACCCAAATAAACCATTTATTTATATGCAAAATATTAGCAGTTGGCCTTTCATATCGTTGCATTCCATTACTGGACACGAGATGGGAACAACTTGAGATCTGTGATTGATCAAGAGCCAATAACGCTTACTAATTTAACCGCTACACCTGCGAAACGAACGTCTTTATGTTTGGCTGCAGTCACTGAGGTACATGACATCTGTAATGTTCTATTGTGGAAGTGAAAAGAGTTTAAGCGCGGCGGTCGTCGCGCAGCGCGTGTTTGAATTTTATGTAAATAAACAATGTATTTTACATGCGTTGTATACGTCGCTATGCGTCCCATATCGAACAGGACCCGGCACGACGACTGTCGCCCTTTAGGTTCTGCAACAATGACTTTCACAATATTTTGTATTCACAATTGCCATATCCTCAAATCGAGGATTCGTACAGTATGGATGTTCACAGTAGATGGCTGTAATAAATTAGATAGTATTGGCTTTGATCGGCAGACATTTGTAGATGCATGATATGTGAGGCACACACTGATATCTTGACACTTAAACAATGGTACACAGGCTTCTGAAAACTAATTTTTATGTTGTAATTATTAAAAGAAATATAAAGAAAACTAATTTTAAAATAAAATAAAAATAGTAAATGCATATAAATGCTTTGTAGTATGTAAAACCAACTGAACATCATTACCGTATTTGCCATTTACCAAAATCTGCATACTGTAAAATATTTATTTTCGCTTGGAATTAATTTTCGCTGAAGTAATGATTCAGTGAAAACAAAATCAAGCGAATATACCTTTTTTCCCATATTTTACATTCAACTCGCCAAAAATCAGTAAAAATAAATTCCATACAAAACACTCACTTTTCATCAAAAAATAATTCCAGCTATTAATCAAAGAAAGCTTAGAAAGAACTCCCATGTGCTGAGAGTATTGGAGACACATTAAATATAATTCGAAATTACTTAGCTGAAAACTAATTATGCAAATCAGAAAATTAATATGACCAGATTTGAGTGTAAAACTTATGAGGTCTGCGCAATGTAACAGAAAATCTATGTCTCCAAGTTTAATTGAAATGTGATTAGAACCAAAAAATTATGAATTATTATGCTTATTAGGGAATTAATATGAATAGATTTTTACCCCAAACTAATTAGGTTTGTACATTGTCCTAGAGCATCTTTGTACTAAGTTTCATTGAAATGGAATAATTAGTACTTTAGATATCAGTGTGAAAGCTTAAAATTGGTTAATTATGCAAATTAGGTAATTAATATGTACAGATTTTAACCCACAATTATTCAGGTCTGTCTATTGTCCTACAGCATCCATGTACATTCATTGATATGTGATGTATAGTACCGGAGATATCAGTGTGAAAGTTGGTTAATTATGCAAATTAGGTGATTAATATGCACAAATATTTACAGGAAACTAATTGGGTCTGCATAATTCTAGATTCATTGAAATGTGATGATTAGTACTTTAGATATCAGAAGAAAGCTGAAAATTAATTATGCAAATTAGGTAATTAATATGCACAATTATTTACCCTAAAACTAATC